GTGTTTTCTAGTGCATGTAAACCCCTAACAGGATCTTTGGCACTTGTCTGCCAATGGATCAATATAATTATACAGGCTATGGCTGGCTTGTAGGGCTGCCATACAGCCACACACTAAAAGCACTGAAAGCAGCCCGTGTTTCACTACCAACACTGGAGTCAAATCTCTTAATGTATCCGACCCCTCCCATACCTTCCCTGTGCATTCGGGCACCTTGCAGAACAGAGTTTAGTGTGGTTGATATAGATGGACCAAAAAAAGCAAAAAGAAATTAATCGACATTTTAGCTGTCGGGACTGCTACTAGTATTAACAACAGCTAGTATTAAGTCCTCACAGTCCGGATGCTGAGACTGCTAGCACCAGCTGTGGAGAAGTGCAGGAGGAAGGACAGCAGTCCCGACAATAGACTGACAAACAGATGATGTTTGTCACTCTGTTTCCCATTCCCTTCTTATCCTGTGTTTGTATATATTATCTCAGTCTTCCCTTGCTCTTTGTTATGTTCTCCCTCATGCTGTGTTTCCTTCTTTCTCTGCTCTCCAGTAAGATTTCTTTTCATGAGATTATTTTTCCCTAACCTACATTATGTTTACAAGCCTTTTCCAATCTTACTGATCAAAGGTCTTCAACTGCACACACAGTGATTTTAATGCTACTGTCCAGACAATAGTCCCAGATTCAACTCTCTAGGGCTATTATGCAGAGCTTTGTTGCAATAGATGCTCAGGCAGTTGCTTATATGACAGGTGTGTAGTTTTCTGCCTGTATTTTATATTGAACCTTTTTATGCTTTTCAAATGTCATAGTTTCCTTGTGTTTGTAAAATCCACTGATAGATCCCGTTGAGCTGTCCATGTTTGAGACAGCTCAACTGTCATATGTTTCCAATACCATCTTGTTCACGTTAGCACCCTTTGCTACAAGACTGATAAACTGCATATGAATTTAACAAGTTGATAACCAGCTTTGTGTGCTCACATAGTCTGACTGGAGATGTTGTGAGAAGTGAAGCTGTAAATGAAAGATATTTCAGTTGCCCTTGCTTCATGGCACACAGCCTTCGCAAGATAAGATAAGATAAGATAAGTTACCGTGGAGGTAATAATTTCCATTTCCACGTGTTTTACCAAAAATTGCACTGTAACTGTATCGTAATAACTTAAAATGGGGACTTTAGAGATTAATGGAGGTACTTGGGGGATAACAAATTTATCTACACCAGTTCTGCAATGTAAAATGCACACTACACTGTACAGAGATCCATAAACTTCAATTTGCTGTAATACACACACAGTGAAGTGACTCTTTTAAATGAACTGGTTGAGGTCAAACCCAACACACTTGTCCCAATCAGGAGATCAGTCAACCACCTCCCTGAGCTCCACCTTCACCCCTATACTGAAACATAACACACCAAAAATAGAATAGAATAAAGAAATGTTGAACTTGTGTGAACACAAGACAATACATGGAAATTCCATGTACCTAATACAAGGGCGATTACACCCTTGGTTATGGGGCATATTATAAACTTACTTCAGATATCTTAGAAATAATATCTTAATTAATATACTAAAAAATTCCTAGCTAACATTAATTTATTTATAGTCTAATGCCAACTAGTCTAACAGTCCTATAAGATTCATTAATTTATGAGTATAAACTGCAAAACTGTGCTTATAATAATTAGATGTCCAGTTTTTTGTGCTATTTTTCTTGAGGCAGTATGAAGTGCGTGTAGACCCCGTGTGCTGCAAGTATTCCTCTGACTGGCTCACAACATCACACTGGGAAAATGATAGCAAACTGTACTATTAGGTCACAAAGACTGCTAACTGCTTTAAGATGTTTGTCAGTATAGAAAGTTGTCCTTACCTTTTCTCTGCTTCTCTGAGTTATGAGTAAAATGAGACCAAGTCCAACCTCTGACTGTAAATTGTGACAGGAGTGGTCAAGTGTGGGTTGAACGCTCTGCTCACTTTCAATTTTCAAAGAAACCACCTCTCTGACAGAGAAAGACGAACAGTTACACACGCTTTCATTCCAGGTTAGATAAGAATAGATGAAACACTCAAGGCCAAAAAAGTTCAGTTCCAATAAAACGAGAGTTAAAAGTGAGAGTTACTGACCGTGTCAAGTTTTATGCAGTTTATATGCATCATTTATTATTACTTTATGAAAATCACCTTGCTGTGAACTTTTTGACTTGAACTCTAGTGGTGCCTGTCTGTATTTCTGACTAATGATAACATCACACTACAAAGAAAAGATCAGGCAAAAGTGCTATGGACTGTAACAGAGGGTTTATGGTCATGCACCTCTATAAAAGCAGTAGCGGAGCATTCAGATGTCTGTTAACATAATGTCACAATTTTCCCAGGAGTGGATGTCCCAAAACAATTCACCCCAAGGACAGACTTTGCAATGCTCAGAGAAACTGCAAGAAACACAAGAGATAAAAGTTGCAAAGTTCCATGTAAACAAACCACAAGCAAAATGTCCTTTCAACATGAAGCTTTGCTGTAGATTAAAGAATTAAAATGTTTTAAAACAGCTCAGCCAGAAAGTTCAGCAACATTTTGATTTACTCAAATCCCTCAGTCGTCATTGGTCTCTTCGGGCCCATGGCTAGTTTGGTCGGTAAACACTGCAAACCAAGCTGAGTAAGCTGTGTGGTGTCAAGTGCTGAAGTAAAATCCCCTCATTCAAATTTATTTTACTAACACGTTAAATGTAAATGAATGACTGCAGTAGAGCAGAATTTAGGGATGTCTCAATGAAACCATGGAAACAAGGTCTGAATACAACAGCTGGATGTAGTTTGATTTAGATCATCTAAGTGGGTGCCAAATATTTCTTCTTTGGTCTTGTCCCTGAAGACAATGGATTTATCAGAACCAGAATATAAAAGACATTTGAGCCCTTTTAGGAGAGTTGAGGAGTTTTTGTTATGCTTAAAATATTAATGAAGGGTCTGTGTAATGTCTGTACGACTGCCTGTCAGCTCAGTAGATCGAAAAGCATAATACGATTAGCTATGAAAGGTGGTCATGGTGTGTACTAGCATTGTTAATTGATGAGCGGTTTCCAACACAGTGGTGAGAGGAGTAAGGAGTTTGTGTAAGCGGGTGTCTCACGTTGCCTATAAACTCTTCCCTCATTTCACTGCCAATGAAGTTCCTTCAAAATGATTGGCTGCTGTAAAAAGTTTAATTTAATGGTATCTGGTCAAATGAAATGTATTTGATTGCTTTACATTCAGCTATAACTAAGCACAGTTTCCATAAGTTTAAGCATATGAATGAATAAACCTTAAATTTGGCCTTTTTCAGTTGCATTTGTGTCATCATGTTTACAGAGGGTGAAGGGTACAGACTCACGTTTGCCAAAAGACTTTTTATTTATTTTAAAGAGTACAAGAGAGCCATTAAATGAATACTAATATTTGGGTGCTGGGTGTTTAAATAAGATGTTTCTTTTTCCTATACACCAAATCCTATCTTAGTATAAGAAAAAGGGGCAGTTTAAACACTAAGTCTCAGTTCAACATATGCACATAAAGGTTTACATACTACAAAGATTTATAGATTGTTTCCACTGTCTCCATAATTAAAAGTAAAATAACAGGTTTAATGCAGCCTGGACAGTGAACATAACAAGAGTTGCATAAATGTGGAGGCTGTGCTAACATATGTACTGATGCAGAGGGCAGCGTTGGGCTGTATGTTTTTTAAATGTGAACCATTATAAATGAAAGATATAACTCACATCTATTAAACTATTAAACACAGGAAAAGGTTCCCCCTTGTTTTGGTCACAGTAGCGGCTTTCAGGTCATCAAGGTGAGGTTATACGGGTCGCTGGGTGTGTCTCGGAGATTCCCAGGATGAGATGTAAAGTGATAAATGTGGTGATGTCTGGTGAGATCAGGTCAAACTCGTCACTTCAAAAAAAGCTTCTCACAAAAATACAGTGAGCTAGCACTGTTATTTGGATCTCTGCATAACCATTCTTATTACTTGTTACATGAAATTAGCTCTGCAAACAATGAATGACAGTGAGCTAGGCAAATAACACACTACAGGTTAATTTACATTAAAGGTTAGTTTACAGCTCTCAAAATTCAACTGAGGTCAAAATGCTTTGAGATGACTGTTACATGCAGATAATACAGAAGTGAATTGAAACATGTGGCTTTGAATGGGACACATGCCTTTGATCCAGAGCAAAACTGTTTACAGCATGGCTTGTGTGGTGATCACAGTCGAGGTGTCGGGCTGCTGGCTTTCTCTGATCTTCAGCTCGCGATGCATCTGGCACCAGACGCACGAGTAACACCAACATGTCTTGCAGCAGTCATCGGTGAACGAGCCCTACAGGATGGAGAAGAGGAAGCAGCAAGAGTTATCGGGATTTAATTTGTAGCTGTCGTGATTGCACCTGTTTAAATGTCCCTGTTCACGCTGCTTTGTACTGAACTGAACTGAAACTAACACGACTAGAAAGAGAAACAGGGAGGAGCGATTTTTTCAAATCTTTATGCAACTCAAAACAACCTCTCTATTTCCTCAAAACTTTATCTGTCTGTAGCCAGTTTCCTTGCTGTTAACTGTCAGGATGTCAGTGAAGGACGACACACAAGCAGGATTTAGAGAGGTTTCCTTTTCTTCAGTGAGACAGAGGAAAATAACAGGTGGAGTCTGATTTACAGTAATTTCAATGAGCTCTGCATTGGTCTTTTTCTACCTGCTCAAAGATCCTCTATATTCACTTACTGTCAACTGTTAAATATTGGCAAACAGGGCTGATGAAAGCAGTGAGAGTAACATGAACAGTAAAAAAAATACTGGGTGGCAAAACATCTATGAGAGTTAGAGATTAAAATAGCTGTCCATTTCCTCTTCCTCTAATTTGGTCAGCAGGCACTTCTCTATGCTTCTCTCTCTCTCTGTTTATGAATAAAAATTAGTTTATGCCAGATGCCCTTCCTGATGCAACCCTAATGGGATGTTTGTCTCCTTCCAGGATTGAGCTAGTGCTTGTTAGCTGAATGTGTTACCCACAACTATAGTTTGTTAATGTTAGCTTTTATCTCTACTCTACCGTATCATCAACATACTGTCATTTTGGACTCCAAATAGTCAACATGGTGAGGAACATGAAGCTAAAGCTTTCCTCAAACCAATGAGTGATATCATAGTGATGTCACAGTGGCCACAGCCACAGGGTGAGTCATTAACCCTGGTTCCAGAAACAGAAAACATAAATCAACAGGAAGTCATGTGACTGTGAAGCCAGTCTATAGTTAATCATTTGCTTTTTATGCAATGTGATGTTTGTTGAATAGTCGGTTGAGTAAGTTGAGAAATAACATGTATTAAATATCTAATAATCACATCAAAAATGAGAGATCTGGATGGAGGGCAGCCGACAGATGAGACACCACAAGACGATGAAAGGTGAGGAAGAGGTGATATGGCACAATAAAAGAAAAAGTTATGAGACCGGGGCTGGTAAAGTGCTGTCAGCATACTGTCTTACAAATACATATTTAATCAACATTTTAATTTTTTTAAAAAAAGTTTGGATGTTTAATAAAAAAAAGCTAAGAACAAAATTTATTTCAGTAACATTCTGTGAATTCAGCCACTAGGTACTGCACAATGTTTGACATTTTATATTAATTTCACTATAAAACATATGCCCTCAAATGTTTCAAAATCCTAGCAACACGCCTGCTGCCCTTCATCTCTAATCCAGCCTTACAGGGATGTTGTGGCTCTCTCTGATGGACTGACGGAGTAAGCAGGAAACCACGCCGCAAACATCCAGGAGTGGCATTGCACAGCACCATCCATGTTTACTGGCTGTCTGACACTGCATGCAGGGGAAACACCAGAAGCCGCAGCAACCTTGAAACAGAACAGAAAAAGAGGAAATGGGGAAAAAAAAGAGAAGGGAATGAAGGGAATAATCTTGCCAGTATATAATCCTCATACATTTCACTAGGTTTCAGGTAGTTTTCTGGGTTTTTAAACACTTCCCCTTCTGCTCATTGTCACTTCTGTCTTCTTGTTTCCTGAGCGTGTGCCTCTGTTCTTCTTCTTATGATCTGGTGATGTTTCGTTTGGTCATTTCATTGCAAGGGTCATTCGTTACCCTGGAATATTCAGCTGCCGTTGGTTCAAATAATAACTTACCAGTGGATCTCTGGGAGGAAGCCAGAGTAACAACAGGAAACCAGGCAGGAGAACATGCAACAGTGCTAAGCACTCCAACAAAGTGCTGCATTTAAGTTCCTGTGCCAATTAGAGAATCTCAGATTTCTGGAGAAGAGCATAATATGATCAAAGGCTCCATAATGCAACTGATTGGACAACCTGAGGAGATGGTTGATGCAGAAATGACTGCTGAGTGTTCACTTACAGCTGTTCATATCAACACAGCATTCACAGAGGTCGGTGCTCCACTGCCCAGGGTTCTGATTGGTGGTGATTGTCACCACCTGGTTTGTCTGCTGGTGGCCAGCCATGCCTGGAGGAAACAGACAGCGTGAAGTGTGACAGAAGTTATTGCTGCTACGCATGGAGAAATCCAAGGGTAGAATTTGAGAAAGGTAACAGGCTGGTTTGTTACGCATATAACAGGATGTTTCCTGATTCATTTAAATCATTACAAATAGCTGGAGTGAGATGTGCAAAGGATGTGCATGCAGTGCACTCTTCTGTCCTCTGGACCCCATGCCACCAACCATCCTCAAATCATACCTATGCACTTTGTGTACCAACATGGTGGACATCATTTGAAACCAGCGGAGCCCTGTACTATGAAGTACAGTTCGGCATATCCAGAGTATCTTTCTGTTATCTGCATTCCCTTACCCTGAAACAGGCGATTAGGATCAGGTGAGCTTTGTCGCACAAAGCTGGTTATCAACTTGCTATCCAACTGACGCAAGTGAGAAACTTTACACCATCCCAGGCTCCCAACAGAGGTCCATGGGATTTTTCAGGAAAGGTGACACCATTTTCTGGAGAATTCATTGATCGGTAGGCAGTGACGTCATACCTGCTCATCTCTATATTACAATGGCAAAACCCAGATTTGGAGTTACCCAGATGGATCTTACTGCTTCCTAGTACAGGCCCCTGCTACCCTCAGTCCTCAAAACACCTGCTGTCTCCTCCATTCTCAAAAATAAAAAAAACTAGTGTGGGCTCGGATGACCTCAATAACTACTGCCTGATCCTGGAAAGAGCAGTCACAAACTTTTTTGCAAATCCGACTTCAGCACACATCACAGCATGAAAATTTCCACATTAGCATCCTAATACTTCTGGGCTTTTCAGCAGCTTTGACACAGACTCCACTCCAGACTCTGGACATAACTCTCAAATTCTGCAGCTGAAATTTTCACTCATGCTTTAATTACCACCCGCCTGGACTATCGTAACAGTATCCCATTTGTTCTGCATCTCAAATTTCTGGACATGCTGCAGTATGTTCAGAAGTCAGCCGTCAGTTCTTATATGCACTAAAACTATGTAAACTTTTAGAGATATCACAATAACTACATTATTTACATTTATTGGTGTCCCTTCACGATCTGGTTTGACTTCTGATGAGCTTCAACACCTGACAGGTTAAAAGCAGTATGGGGCAGGAGGTAGGCTAATAGCCTACAGTATGTCCTCCACTCTTTTGGAGGTCTTTCTGTGAGGTAAATGGCAAGAATATGTGAACTAAAAATCACAGTGTGACAAGAAATGAGGGTTGAAATGAGAGGAGATTTCAGACTGTCCAGATTTATGTGCATTTCACATTTATTTGCATATTAAATGTGAACAGTTCATTAGTGGCCAAGCTCATGACCACTACGGACTGTTTCGTACATTGATGATTTATTCAAACAATCAAAACATGCGTAAGAGATATGCATTAACAAATAAAGGCGGGGGGCAGAATTCTGTTTCGTGTCCTTGATTAAGATAAGAAAGGCATTTCTGGCCGCTCCCTTATTTCCTACAAGCACAGAGTTTACATCAGATGACCCTTCCCTCAACCCAGACTTG